GAAAAATTCATATGTCGGTATCTACTGTTTGGAAAAAATATATCGTCTCATATGTATTTGTAGGAAATTGAATTCTCTACAAAAAATGTATCTTGCAATTTTTTGGCAAACCTCGCCGTTCGAAAGTTATTAAAGGTTGAAGTTTGATTATTTTAAGGCAGATTTCTTTTTTTTTATGAATTTTATAACTCGTCAACAAAAAATCATTATGATACGCGCAACTCAGAGTTTTGTAGAAAATTCACTGCTCCACAAAAATAGTCTCTTATGATTAGTCGATTAAATTAACCGTTAAAAAGATATTCATCGTCAAACTGTAATGCACAATAATTTTAAAGTTTTTTGATTAATAATTCGAACAATTCCAATTTATTTTATAAGTTTCTGGGAAATTTTACAAATTTAAGTTTCTGTCGTGATACATCCTGGTTCATCCTGTTATATTGTTATTGTTATTTAATCAATTCGTCAAGTATTTTATCGTGGGTTTAAAGTTAGTGCAGTAATTTACGAAATGCCGTAATGGCGTCACCAATCTCTTTCATCTGGTTGGCAAGTGATTGAGAGAGTTCGACAATGACGTGACGTTGAACGATAGCTGAACATTCTATATATTCTCATTTTAAGCAAAAATAATACAATTATTTTTGGACATAAAGAAAAACCTACAAGTAATTACAGCATACTTGAATAGTAGATTAAATTTACAAGAAAGAAAAGCCAGAAAAGATCCAGTGGTTCTCAAAATTTAAGCAAAAAATCATTTTTTTTTTAATTTTCAAACTTAAGTAACTAGGTTATTTTGGACTTATCTGAAAAATGGCAAAGAGAAAATATGTTTCTTTTATCGAGATCTACCAGCCCTGAAAATATTTGCACTTATTTAAGACTCACCCTGTATATACAGGGTGGATTGAATTTAATTTGGATCAAAAAATCAGTAGTCTCGGCTACGATATTTATATACAGGGTATCCTAGAAACATGCCAAAAGGGGATTTTTTTGCGAAAAAAACACTGGATATATTACATATTATATACTACTGGATTATTATATATTAAAATATCATGAAAAAAATATATTTTCAGAAAGTATTTCAGTATTTAATCATTTTCCGTGATTTATTTATAAACCAAAAATAGTACTTACAAGATATTCAGAAAGTTGTCAAAAGTCTCTGCAATAAAGCAATACGTAATGCATCAGTTGGTGTGTCTGTTGGGGTTATGATATCGTGAGAGAAATGCATCAATTATTTTTTGGTTATATATATATATATATCTCTAAAAATAAAAAAATATCAATTTTTATCAAATTACTGGCATAATCTATACTAATATAAAAAAAAAAAATACGAAAACAAAATATTCACAAGTGCTTATACATTCTATTCCAAAACCAAATTATGTTATTTACTTTTACACTACACGTATATTATTCGTTAAGATATTTCGTGCTTTTGTTCTGCAGATATCAAACTTTCACTTTCTTTATCATATATTCAATAATTGAATGGATTGCTTTTGAGTTACCATAGTTTACAAAAGGAGTAAAGCAATTTTGAGTACTAGAAATATTTGTAGTTTCCATGCCATATTTATTTCGTACGCGGGGGCGTTGCCAAAATTGTTGAAAAAAAAAAGCATAATTTTTAGAGTTCTCTCACCGATTTACCCGGTAGCGTTAGGTCGAATGTGTCAGCCCTGCCAAGAATTTTTTTGTAAGCCTCAAAACAAGAAAGGCGTTTAAAATCAACATCTAAGACCAGTTTGACCGTTTTGTGGGATGTCGTGATGCAATTTTTGGATCCCAACTTTCTCTAGTGACATAGAACGAAGGGTGTTTGAGACGCCATTTGCAATGCATTCCACTCTCGCTTCTCATCGCTCGCGGAAATAGAAAGAGAAAGTTGCTCCTTAAAATTTGCCAAAAATAGCCAGACTACCTTTAATCTGGCTTAGTGAGGCATTTTATAAGTACAGGGAAATTCAAGGTCACTGATACATGGTGGGCGCTCTAAAAGTTTAATGTCTCAAGTAAAGGGCTTAGTATAAACCAAATGTTGATGCGCAGAAAGACATGCCGTTAAAGGGTTAATAGAGGACCTTTCAAAAGAAGATTGGGTGTTGCAAGTACTGTGAGCATTAGGTCTAGTGGGAGTAGGGATGCTGCTGTAATAATTGTTGAAAACTCTGAAACTCTATCGAAATGCACTGAGTTCAAAAAATCAATGAATGACATCAATAGTCAGTTCGGTAATTTTCCTCAAGACAAAAACATCCACATGATGTTCTAGTTAAATAAAACATGATGATATGCAAAAGCCTTTGTTAAATTTCTTATAACTTCTAATAAAATTAAATGATTTATTAGTTTTAATAAAAGTTTAAAATATTGTCTTAGATTCTTACTATATATATAATTAAAATTAAACATCTATTTTATTTGTTTTTTTAATAAAATGGTATTTTTTAAAATAAAATATAAAGGGTGTAACAAGATTACAAAGTAATTAAGAAATAACTGCTAAATAAATTTTTTTGTAAGTGTTTCACCTGATATCATAATTTTGTTTATTTGGCAATAGTTTACAGTAGGGTTTTTGTGTCATGTATATTATGTTTTATGCAATTAAACAGTTTTATGCCCATTAGTTTTATTATCTCGTACTACGAGATAATAAAGGCCCAAACATCGCTGATGTTTTGTCCCAGTAGAATTGCCATCCGTGCGCCAGGTAAAAATATGTTATAACTCTTCTGGGAGTGTAGTGCTAGCTCTGTAAATTGGGTGCTAGGTAGTGCTAGGTGGGTGCAATATTTAAGGGAAAAATTCAACCGGGGGGGGGGGGCTAGCGTTACATTAGCCCCCCCCCCCTTCGGTAAAGATGTCCTGTAATTCACTAGGGGTTGTGGTGCTAGCTCTGTAAGTTGGGTGCTAGGTAGTGCTAGGTGGGTGCAATACAGTGCTAAAATATTACAGAGTTTGGCCAACCGCGGGGAGGGGGGCTACTGTAACGGACCCCGATTTGAACTGTACTACGATTCAGTACAAATCTCTAAGAAGAGATGAGATCTGCGATCTTTCAACATGCTGAATATTTTTAACTGCACAGACCATAGATTTGTCTGGAACTGTACTAGACCATAGACTGACGAAATTATCTTATATAAAATCTGAACGTTTAGTGTCAAAAGATCGCTATGATTTGGTCTTAAGATCTGAACTGTACGACTTGGTATGCAGATCAAATCGTTACGTGTCGGGCCCGTTTAATAAATATTTGACATTGAAAGAACATGTAAAAAAATTGAGTGTTCACTTTGTGCGCATATTTGAAGTGAAACTTCTTATAGTACGGAAGCATTGTGTGTCCTGTTAGGGTAATAAAGGGAAGGTACTAGTGGTACTAATCGATAGATAAAAACATGTAGTCCAATAATATCGATGGTGACACTTTCACAGATGCTGCGTGTGGCAGTATTACGATGGTCAGTATTTACTACCAAACAAGCCCCACGAGAGGTTCCCTTTTACCCGCAATTAAGAGAGCTAACTTTCAAGCCTTTGTGTGGTCAAAAGATGATGAACCAAATGCAGTCATCCCTAATCCAGTTGGACACGGCTGGTATTTGGAAGAGGGAGTGCTGACCCCTATTATGTGTGAAGAACCATGTGCTCCAGAGTCTCTTCTTCATCTGATTAGATGTCTCAATTCATATGTCAACTGATTCGTGTCTTAAAAATCGATATTCACCACCATGTAAATGTTTAGCAAACAATATGCCTTGCACAGAAATGTGTAGTTGTAATGCGGACCAATCAACTTGTGATAATTTGCCTCCACCTGATTTTGCCGACGAAAGTAGTGATGAATTTGATAGTGATTATGCCTATTTGTAATTTTATTAATATATATGTGCAGATGTATCACTTAATTTTTTTTAAATACATGAACTCATATAACGCAGACCATATTTTATTTTGGTAAAAATAATATAACACAATATTTTACAATTTTTTTCACTTTATATCCTACCAGCAACCAAAATATTATTTTTTTCGCAATACTTTCAAGAATTCCTCTTTAAATTACCTTTCTAACAAGCTAAAAAAATTGAAATCGGTTAAATAGCGGCGACGATGCTATGGCGGCCATTTTGTTTAACGCACTCCAAATAAACGCAATATCTGTGACGGTGTCACCATAAAAATTAATGGAATACATAATTTTTCTGATAAAACAACTCCACTGGCACCTTCCCTTCATGAAGTTTCCCACGGGAAGCTATTTTTATACGTTGTGCTACCCAACTATTACTAACAGCTAGTAAATTGGAGGATTTGAAAGACATGTTTGAAAAAGTGACATATAATCCTGTTTTAATATAAATGTTATTTTCAATTTATTTCTGTAATCTCTACATTTTCTGTTTTCTCAATAGCCTGCAAATTTTGAGGAAAATCACCCAAAATACACACTTTTATGCAAATGCCTAATAATGTTAACTCTTAAATTTATTTAAGAATAGAACATTTTTTGAACCTAACCAACAATTCGTATTTATCGTGGTTTACAGTAATTTTGTGAAATTATAAGAATATTCTCGTTGATTAGTGGTTTGAAATAAATATGGCGATGTAGGTACTCCAATGAAAATGTAAATGTAATAATTCAAATTCTAAGCTAGCAAATTAGCTAAATGCTTTACATACACCGTTATTCAGAAGCTACAAACCTATCGACGAAAATATGTATGAACATTTACTTCCTAGCACACAACCAGAGGATATTGGTACCCAGTTACAGTATCAATTTTATTATAATGCTTTTCTTAGCTTTAAATCAAATGTTTTGGTGTGTGCGCGATCCTTACCGCTTTTTTCTCGCTAACTCGCCGATGTGTCACAACCTTAAATTTTACTCCCATCGCGCATAAAGAAGTTTCACTTCAATAATTATAAATATTATAAATGATTCCATTTTATTTGATCTCTAGTGTGAAATTATTATCGTTGTGGCCTCCGTAGTGATAATGACCGTTGTAATTACACACGAATTTTTCAACATGGGACAAGCTCTGGAAGATCAGGTATAATTTTTATTAATTATTTAGGTCCGTAGTCTTCTTTATTTTATAATAACGCTTACTGTCAGTATCTAGTATCTTCCTGCAGGATATACGAACCTTGTAGTTGGTGGGAATCCTAGTCAGGTGCTAGGGGGAATCCCCTCTGGCACTTTGGCACTTTGGCTTTTTATAAAGAGCATCTTACGTATACTTATACTATTTTTCTTGTACAACGTTTCGGTACTTCTGACCGAAACGTTTGTAAGCAAAATACACTCACCGGCACGAAAAACGGGCACCTTAAAATTTTGACGCATTTTTGACGAAGTTTAATATATTTTGTTCTAGTTGGCCGATTTTGATGATTTTTTAAGCAATTTCTAGCTAAAGTATTTGACTTTTTCGTAAATATTTCTAAATTAAAAATGAAAGTTTCGACCTGTCAATTATACGAGGGAAAACAAAATGTTGATATTTTAGTGAAAGTTTGAAACACCCTGTGGAATATGTTAACAAATCAAGGAATTTAAAAATCATTTTGTCATCTAGGTACGTTTTTTCCCGATAGTTTCTTTTTTGATTCATCTCAATAGCTTTATTTTTATTGGAGATATTCGCTCTTGGATAAGACAGTAACGATTTACAGCAATTTTAGCATTGATGTTGGTCCTCATCAACACACTTATAAAAGAGTGTTTATTGTTTTTAAAATGTCATTATCGTTGATATTATTATTGTTTATTGACGTTTACTCTAGTAGAGATGGTTTTAAGTTCTGAAGTATCGGCTATTGCTGCTTTAATTTTTTTGATCATGTTGGAGATCAAATTTTGGACTTAAAACTTAAAACCATATCTGCTAGAGTGACTGCCCAACAGACAATAATAATATGATTTTTCAAACACAGTGGCATTACATAAATCATAAACACTATTTTATAGGTCTGTTGACTAGAATCAAAAGCAAATGCACGGCTTTAATGTAAAAAATTCGAAAAAATGTTAGTGTCTTCTTCTAAAGCAAATATCTCAAAAAAAAAATAAAGCTAAAAAGATAAATCAAAAAACGAACTATCGAGAAAAGATAGACTTAGATGACAGAATTATTTTTAAATGCCTTGCTTTTTTAGCGTACTCTACAGAGTGTTTCAAACTTTCACCAAAATATCAACATTTTGTTTTTCCTCGTATAAATGACAGATAGCAACTTTCATTTTTAATTTAGAAAAAGATACTAAAAAAGTCACATAATTTAGCTACAAACTGCTTAAAAATCATCAAAATTGGTCCACTAGAACACAATATATAAAACTTTAAAATACATGAAAATTTTAGTGTGCTCGTTTTTCGTGCCGGTGAGTGTAAATAAAGACAATGAAAGACCGAAACTCTTTTAGTTTCAACACTGAATCATTGTCTACCACATGCATTGTTTCCATTAGTTTCAGATGATATACAGTGAGCTTTTAAACGTTTCCTGGTATTATTGGAATTCAAGAAACAAGAAAAGTTATATTGTAATTTTAACACAATCTCAAAAAACTGTAACCTTTTATTCCGGTTTTGCTACAAAAGGAAACATGGAATCGTTTCTTAAGGTAAATTAAAAGAAGAATTAACTTAATTTTCTTATTAACATATTATCCTTGATTGAAAGAATTGGGAAGATACGCAACCTAATGGAAAAATTCGTGACAAGATTGATTTGATTTCCCCTTAAGTCTCAAGTGCTGTACGGTGGAGCCTCTACTCGTTCTGCAGCTAACGCACAAAACACTCATTTTTTCTAATTCGGCTAGCGGAGGCATATCGAAAACGGTGTGGAACTGAAAGCGACAGTGTTGTCATATTAAAATGTGTAATATCTGTAATACGTTTGAAGAAAATATCTTTGGATGAGAAATCTGCGTTTATGTATTGAAAATTTATTCGTGTTAAACATATAACAAACAACAAAAACAAAAATTCTTTTATAGGTACTGAATAGTTCGTATGTTCGAAAAAAGTTGTTTAGTTGGCTTGGAAATGACGGCTATTGACATTCACCATAATTTTACATGTGAAATAACAGCGAACTTCATTTCTAAGCCAACTCTGACGCCGTTCTTTGTTTAATCATATAACATTATATCAAATTGTTTAATGCTAGAAAAATATATCTAATCAACAAACTATAAAGTTTCGTATTGTTAACGTACTGTACCCAAAATCCGTAAATCTACCTACCGATTAATCCGTAGTTTTGGCAACACTGCCTCCGGCACCTAACCTAATCTGTCGACTGAAAGCAGAACTACGGTACAGTATTCTTTATCCGCTGCGCTGTAAACGAATATCAGGCGCAGAGCTAAATTAAATCTCGGACAGGTTGTCTAGCTTGACTAAGTTGATTTATTTTTATCTAATAAAACAGGTAATATTTCATATTGGGAATATAATTGACTTATTTAAATTGTTTTTTCCTGTGACATTAAATTGCCCATTATTTTAATGTTATTAACTTATGTTGCTTAGATATCTTTTTTTATTATTTTCAGTACGGACGATTTTTATATGGTGGATTGAACTTCTTATATCAAATGAAATAAAAATGTAAAAAATCATGACTTTGATGGAGATTGGAGGTTTTAAGACTGCAGCAATTAAGATTCTTGGGGCTCTTAGTGTTCCTTCACGATTATGAGGTTATAAATAAAGGCCTTAGAATGTTTATTAAATCTTTAATAAATGTAAACATTAATTAATTTCTATTTAATAAAGTATATATTTTTTCGTCATACTATATTGTTATATTATTATAACATAAGCAAAATCAGAATGGAAAAGATGCATATAACGTCCGCCGGACGTTATCATAACGGCAGGCGGCCGTTAAGTTTCTAAGGTAATCGTAACGTCTGTCACCTGCAACAATGACTATTTATTGTCAGTTGGACTTTTCAAAAATTGGGAAAATAGACCATAGCGAGATGTCGCGAGAAATTCCGTTGGAAATACAGGAGGAAGCGGCTGCGGCTACTCAAAATTTACTTCCGACTATAACCAGAGAGAGATATCAGCAGGAATATGACAATTTTTTGAAGTGGCGGCAGGATAGAAGTATAAACAGCGTAAATGAAGCGGTATTGCTGGCTTATGCTAAAGAATGTCTGAAATGTATTCTCCTACATCACTGTGGACAAAGATATCCATGCTGAAGCTTGCGTTGAGAGTATATGAAAACATCGACATATCAGGGTAAAAGCCATTATATTCTTCGATATTTAATCATACCTCATCTAAATTATATTTGTTCATAGATTTGGTAAACTGTCTCATGTTTCTGAGGCGCAAAACGAAGGTTATTCACCAAAAAAGCCAAAGTTCTGTCGGAGAATGACATAAATAATTTTCTACTGGATGCCGATGATTACACCTGGTTACTCGAAAAAATTGTATTGGTGCTTGGTATTCTTGGAGCTTGTAGGCGCAGCGAGCTTTGGTCACTCACAGTTGATGATTTCGAAAGATTCGGAGAAAAATATTCTTGTCTCATTAAGAAATACTTCAAAATAAGAAAGATAGGAAATTTCTTATTCCAAAAACGGGCCTTCCGTTTGATGCCTATGGTTTATACAAAAATACATCAACCTGCGTCCTCGTAACTTTGACAATCCAAAATTTTTCATTGGTTACAAGAAAGGCAAGTGTGTTAAGCAAATCGTCGGTATACATACCATCGGGGAGCGTACCGCAGAAAATTGCAAAATTTTTGAACTTGGAGAACCAGAACGTTATACAGGGCATTCATTTCGTAGATCATCAGCAACCATGCTCGCCGAAAATGGTGGTGATTTACTATCGCTAAAGGAGCTAGGAGGATGGGAGTTCTCAGGAAGTGCAGAAACTTACATAGAAAATCAGTTTCCAAAGAATGAAAATAACAAATCAACTTTTTTCATGATAGCTCCAAAAATAATGTGTCTTTAGTGAATACAAATATTTGCCATTCTTCAGTAGCATCATCTTCTTCTATAAAATCTGTAAATCCCTGGGAAGGATTACAGATTTCTAAGAACAACAAGTGCACTTTTAATTTCCATGTTCATTATCATGAAAAATGAATTTTAGTATAAGACATTATGTATTTTTTCCTTGGCTGCTTATGATCCTCGGCTATCGCCTCGGATCACAAACTTCAGCCCGGCCGTTATTTGTTGTTTATCGGCCTTATTACGTTAATAACTATTAAAAAATGCGTAATTTATTACCAAAATACTATGTTACCTATATTCAATTTTAAAACACCCATAAACTGATGTATATAATTTTTCGGCAATATGAATTAAGCGGTTTATATACACATATGTCCAAAATTATTGCATATTATCAGGGGCAGATCCAGAATTCGGTAAAGGGGGAGGGGGACTAGACTCAAAGTATATACTCCGGAGTTTGTGACAAAATAAATTAATAATATCGTATTACTAAAAAACCGTAAAAATGATAAAAAGAAAATATATGTTTCTTTTATCGGGATCTACCAGCTCTGAAAATATTTACACTTATTAAAGATCGCGCACACTATACCTGCACGGACCAGCACGGACCAGACCAGTAAAATCTACCGGTGAAGGTGACCGTGTTATTTAATAGAGTAGAGCACACTAGACCAGTACCAGCACGTACCGCCACAAGCCACGACCGTCAAAACAGGTCGTGTCGGTCAGGGACAAATATGACCGGCAATATTTATGCCTGGTCGTGCTGGTCCTACCTAATGTGCGCACCGGCGAACCAGCACACCTCCACAAACATGCAAATATTGAAGGGTTTGTCAGTATTTAGAGTACGCTAGCTGGCTCAAGTCGCACGATGTAGGTTAGATTTCGTTTATTTTTGTTCGAACCTTTAAATCGTTTTAAATATGAATGAAGAAAAGCTTATTTTACTGTTATAAAAGTATCCAGAGCTGTGCGATACGAGCCAAGCATTTTATATATAGAGACCAAGAAAGAAAAGATGCAATATGAAAGTCGATAGCAAAAAAAAATAATGAAATTTGATTTGTGACATTCGAAAATATTGGAAAAACTTTTCTTCGAATCTTTTTAATTCAGGAAACAAACGATGAAATTCGCCATATTGCTTTCTCTTTTGATTTATAGGGCGAACCCAAAATCTTCTTTTTTTCTTAGCTTCCTTCTCTTCCTCCTCTTCTTCACACAAGCTAAAATAATAATTTCTTCCTCTGAACTACTCATTTTCAATACTTCTATGTTGCACGCTCTAGTAGTTGAGCCTTGACAACTGTACTTTTTTCGAAACTCTCGCTTATGTTGCTGGTCTGTGGCGGTAAAGTGTGCGATGTCGTGCAGGATGCAGGTTTGTGCTGTGCTGGTCCGTACTGGTCCGTGTAGGTATAGTGTGCGCGATCTTTTAGACTCACCCTGTATAAATATTTCTAATGTTACTTTATTTTCTGTTTGAGTTTGTGCAAACATACTGAATACTTAATTCTAAGAATACAAAGATGCTCTATTTATCGATATGCAACAATTTTGGATATACCGTGCGTCTCAAAAGTAGCTCACCTTTACTAACTTTTTTAATTTTTTAGGTAAAGAAACGAGATTTGGTATGTTAGTATATGACATAAATTAGGATTGATTGACGTACTCAATTGTTTTCTGTCACTTCCTGTTTCACCGGAATTGACTACAACAGGCGGTTCATAACGACAATTTGACTTGAAATACCAAGTGTGTGGTATCAAATTATTCGTAAAAAAATGTTTTTTCCAAATATGCAAATAAGCCACCCTCGTTCCATTTGAAAAGATTGAGATATGATTAAAAATACAATATGGGTATCTTTTAACTGGCCAGGACAAGACACTAAAAACGTTAGACGGTCAAATCTATTTTTCCAAGACCCCTTGATTAAAAATTAGTGTTTTTATCATAGCCATGAGAATGCCAAAAGTTGACATATTATGATATGTCATTCTATTCAGAATGTCATTTTCTATCGAATAAAGTAAAAAAATACCGAGGGTGCCATTTAAAAATCAAAAGATGTAGCCATTTCCGGTAAAACAGGAAGTGACAGAAAACAATTGAATACGTCAATCGATCCTAATTTATGTCGTATACTAACATACCAAATCTCGTTTTTTAATCATAAATTTATTTTTTAAAAGTTTTGGGGGTGAGCCACTTTTGAGACGCACCCGGTATATGTATATATTAATTGGCATAGTTTGTTGTCTTTTCTATAGCTGACTTTCAATCTCATTTTACATTATTTTGAATTTATAATCCTAAATAGTTGATGTAGTGACTTAGGTTCATAAATAAATAAAATTACAAATAAAACAATAAACAAAAGTTTAGCACAGTTTTCATAGTTTCTGTTTGTAGATCCTGAATGTACATTATATGAACTAGAAGCAAATTAATAACTAATAAATTATGGCAGATTATGAATTATCTATAGTTTTACCTGAAAACTTTTTCTACTCTACTCTTATATTAATAATTAATTTAACTTCAGTATACTTAAATGGACAGTAGTCTATCAACTGCAAATATTTATGTTCTGGGGGATGGAGACTAACTATAACTATTAATAATCTTGTTAAAATACGTACAGTATTAAATCTTTTAATATATCATCAGTCTTAAAATATAGTTTCATAATAAAAGGAGTATGCTACAAAATAATAATAATGAAAAACTAAATATATATTTAAAATGGTACATTAGAATTTTGAGGATCTTAGCCCTTTTAGGATCAGCATTGTTCATTTCACAGGTGTTTATAACTTGGAATATTGGCTGGAAGAAACATATTGATTTCGTACTTACAACTTATTTAACTTTTACGGTAAGTTTTGATATTTATTTTGTTATTTATCATGTTTAGTCAAGTATAAAGAAAACAAAATCGATGCATACAAATATTATATTATTTCGAATTATTAAATGCTTAATTTTATTGGTAACATTAAATATAATATGAACCAAACCAAACCTCTACAATTTTTTTAGTATTTCAGAGAAAAAAAAACGAGATTTGGTATGTTAGTATAAGCCATAAATTAGGATTGATTGACGTATTCAATTGTTTTTGATCACTTTCTGCTTCACCGGAAATGACTACCAATTTTGATTTCTAAACTGAACCCTCGGTATTTTTCTACTGTATTCGATAGAAAATGGCACCCTGATTAGAATGACATATCATATGTGAACTTTTGACATTTTTGTTTAAAAAAAAATGGTATTTTAAATTTCAATCTAGAGTGCCATGGCTATGTTAAAGACACTACTTTTTAATCAAGGAGCTTTTGAAAAATAGATTTGAGTGTCTAATGTTTTTCGTGTCTTGTCCTGGCAGGTTAAAAGATGCTCAAATCGTATTTTTAATAATATCTCATTTTTTTCAAATGGAACGAGGGTGGCTCATTAGCATATTTGGAAAAAATATTTTTTTTATGAATAATTTGGTTAGGGTTCGGAAGTAGTTAATTAAGACGTAATTTACTTGATTAACTACGTGTAGTTTTTCTTCAAAAACTACGTCTTTTCCCGTTCATTAACTGACATTTGAACATGA